TCAATTTCGTAATTTCGAAATTACGAAATCAAAGTCGTAATTTCGAGTTCAAAGTCATGATCCCCAAGAAACGAATACTAAAAATTTGTAGCCTTTCTGTGCTTCAGTAGAAATCGTTAGATTATCCAGAATTATTCACGCCAAAGACACTCTATCAACAGTATTAACAATTGATAGTAATCGAAGATTATAAAAATTACTGTCATAGATAATCCCGATCAGCATCAAAGCAAAATTAGGTTTTTCAAATTTCTTGAAAACATGTAGATCGTTCTATTCTGTATTATATATAATTCAAACAATTTTTTTAATTAGACCTACTTGAGCTGTTTTTTGTCCATTTTTCTTCATTCTTTCGTACATCACATTTCCAACTCCTCCCAATTCCTTCACTGGAAAATCGAGGTTCTCAGTTTTGATATAATTGCCTTCTCTCCAGTAATACATTTTTGAAGATTTTGTTCACTTTATTAAAATGAATTTTTCACTATCGAAAATTCCAAGAATATTTGAAAAACATCGTGCCTCCTCATAACCTTGAAAATGTAATTATTTCATGTTTGGATAACTAAACCACCGTTTCGTATGCACACGATGAATTGTTTACTAATTTTATTCACTGATAGCGACAACCGATTTCACATGTTTCTTCAACCGAACTGCGCGTTTTGATGTAACGCTCATATTTTATACTAATACGTATATTTGTCATTATTATCTACAGTGCGATGGAAGTGGAAATTTGTACAAAGTGATGCAGATCAAGCTTGAAGAAGCTAGATCATCTCCTAGATCATCACTATCAGGTTGTGATCCTCCAAATATTACACAACAAAGTATCAAAACATAATGAATTGATTATTGACTAGATAAACACCTACAAAGACAAGTGAAGTAACATCTGAATATTCAACTTGCAAATTGAAAAGTTAAATAGTAAACAAGAAATAATTGTTAAGTATTTCTAACTGATGTTTTCATTTTTATATAAATTATCGGGACTCCAGTGATGAACAGCTTGAAAACACTGGAAACTAAGTTTCAGCGTGTGTTTTCAAGAAATCCAAGTTCATTAATATATGAAAGATCCTATCTTTTTTTCGATGAGAAATCACCTCCTTGAATATTTTACACTTATTCAGTTACACCCTGTATACCCCTACCAACGGGTAGGTGAAGTAAGGTTAGGTCCGAAGTGAGCGGGTCTATTCGACCCACCACCTCAACCCACAAGGATTTATTGTGGCGATGCCAGTGACAGGTTCTTAGTCCAATGAAGCTTCTTACAGCACCCTCCTTTGCAAGGAAGTCAGTAGCCTCATTGCCTTTCAGACCAGTATGGCCAGGCATACAGACCAGAGACAATCTGTAAGGTCTTCCTATCAAGGAGAGTTGCTTTCGGCAATTTGCTACCAATTTAGACGTTGCTCGGTAGGAGCCAAGAGCTTCCAACGCTGCTAGACTGTCCAAGAATATTTTTATTGACTTGTGTCAATAAAAGGTTGGATTCTTCCAGTCTCTTCGCACACAATTCAATAGCCTAAATTTCCGCTTGAAATATAGTCCCATAGGTCCCTAGGCAGGCTGATATCCCTGTTCTGGGTCTGCTACTGAAAACACGTGCCCCAGAACCTGAAGGTTTTTTAATCTATCTGTGAGCCAACAACTATCTGCTCTCAATATTTTCTTCTCCCGGAGGATTCAGTCCTTTCTACTCGGAGACAGTACTCTATAAGGCAGTTCGTAGTTATCTGTTGGACGCACAAAGTCATAGGCAATTTCTAGAATGCTGTGACTTCCAGTGTCAACCAACAGTCTGTTGCACTCTGCATTGAATTGATTTGTGCAACTGGCAATGTGCAAAACTCTATATGCAGTCCATCTAGCCTCTTTCTTCAGAAAAATGTGGAGTGGATGTAAATCTAGAAGAATCTCCAACGGGTAGCTCAACGAATAGATCACTGTATTCCAGAACATTCCACAGCAATTGTGACTGTGGAATAATCCACGAAGACCTGGGTTTTTCTGAAATGTTCCAGACTATTCCACAACATGTTTCGGTATGTTCTGGAAAGTTGTGTCTTCAAATACTCTCGAGTTTTCTGAACTGTTTCATTGATTTCTAGAGATCGAAACTTACAGCCCATATATCTCCAAAATCACATCCTACAGGTAGAAATGGAAACTATTTTCCATATACTCACACGGGGTCTATTTGAAAAATAAGGTGCATTTTATTTTTCCTAAGAAATATTCATCAATTCATCAATTTCTATTTCTCTCTTCTCAAAGTATTTCCGCTCAGATATAATACAATTATGCCAGTTTTTTTTTCAATTCTCGAAGCAGTTCTGATATGTACTTTTTGGTATTTCCTTGAGCTCTTTCACCAATTCAGATTGTATCCCCTCAATCGTCGTAAAACACTGTCTATTTGTGCGTCTCTTTCATCTTGGGAACAAAAAAAAAGTCGCAGGAAGTCAAATCTGGTGAATAAGGTGGCTGAGGCATAAGTACGGTGTTGTTTTGGCCAAAACATGAGTAACAAGCAATGACGAATGAGCAGGTGCATTACCCTGATGTAAAAGCCAAAAATTGTTGTTCTACAATACCGGACGGTTTTTTCGCATTTCTCCTTGCAAGCGGCTCATTCTGTCCAAACAGTGGACTGTGATTGAGAGATGCATGGACGGGGACAGGACTGGATGGCGCGACTGGAAGGAACAAATGGAAAGGGAAAAAGGGAAGGTAACACTAAGGAAAAGAAATGGAAAAAGGGATGACTGAATAAGATTCGTGAATGAATGGGCGGAGAACGTGGTCAGTAACGAATGAGAGAGTGAAAGGAGACATGAATAATGCCTTTGCCCTGTGCTGCCCTGGCTCGAAAGCCTTTCAGCTAGGCATCTTCCCTCTATCCTAGCATCACCATTGTCAAAGGACCCGTGCTCGTCCAAATCACCGAGGGTCAAAGACCCATAACTTTATTGAAAAACAAACCAAATCCACATATCTTCACAACTTTCAAAAATAAAATAATAAATTGAACTTAACTAATCATACTTAAGTATATGTTTCTCTCTAAGGTAATACTTAACTAATCAAACTAAACTAAATGATTCTCTCTGAGGTATTGACAAATCATTTTCAGCCTGTAGGAGTTCCACAAGTCAGATAGCATCTATTCCATGGTTGTCTAAATTGGGAAGATCGTCGTTACTTTAGCGTCATTTCTTTAGCAGCATCATTGGTAGCTTGCCTCACATCCGTCCCTCTCATCTCTCACGACACTCTCTGCCCACTCGTTCGCCACATGTATCCATTCAATTCTCCTTCCATTCCTGTCTCTCATCTGCATTCCTTCCTTCTCTTGTTTCAGCCGTTCTTTCCACCCAGTTCTATCGCCGTCCATACATCTCTCTATCACATGTTCTGCCGTTTCAGGCTCCCTCCATCCACATGGACACGGCACCTCCCGTGCCAGGTTAATCCTAGCCAAGTATTCCGGGAAGTTACCGTGCCCCGTGAACAGCTGGACTGCCTTTCTCGACAGATCCAGTGACTCATACCCGACTGTTCTACAGAACCTGTATAACAGTCGCCCAGTCATACTGTTGTCCCATTCTCGCTGCCATTCTTCCTTAATCCATTCCTTTATCCTCTTNCTTGCGATGGTGACAGAAACAGCGATGAAATCTGTTGGAGAAATATATGTTGAACATATAAAGGACGACCCAAATGGTGAATATGTTAAACGGTTGGAAGTTGATTCGGACAGGGCCTGGAATTTCCTTCGATAATCCTTGGATAATCGATGAAAGGGTATTTCTGAAGTCTTCAGCAAAAGCCAGAAGTACGAAATTGGTAGAGAACCCCCCAATATTTCTGTAATGGGTCGCAATCCTATGATGAGATTGAACCTTTTTATGAGATCTTTCACTAAAGTTCGCATGGATTATTGTGGACCCTTCTTGGTGACCATTGGAAGAAGAAAATGAAAGAGATGGGTGTCATGCTCACTTGTCTTTCAGTTAGAGCAGTTCATTCAGAAATTGCATCTTCCATGAAAACAGATTCCGTGATAATGGCTATTCGTAGATTACCACGAAACTGAACCTTAAAAAAGGTTTGGAGGTGCATTGAGTCGTCTCCTCAAGAGCGGGGTACCTTATGAAACTGCCTTGCACCAAATTTTTAAGAGGCGTACATAGAATCTGTTCCAAGTGGAGGAACAAACCTCCCATGAACAGGTTAGCAAACTTTTGCGCTCAAGTGATGATTCACCAGAACCAGAGACGAAAAAGCCCTGCACGGTGGAATCTAAGGCATCGGCAAGTGTAGCTGACATGCAAAAACCCTCATATGAGAAGGTTGTCGCGGGTATCAAGGTGGGAATCTTGCACCTTGACTATCCAACTACACCATTAATGATTAAACAGCAGAGCATATACTTTATGCCTGCTCCGCTGGGAACCAAATCAGGTTTTTAGAGTTCGACAGAGCCGTACTCTTTCCATCTGACCTGAAAGACCACTCACCATACAAAATAATCTGCTTCGTTAAAAAGCTGGGTTCATATGGTCGAGTGTGAATAGATGTGAGCCACAATAAACCCTCGCGGATTGCGGTGGAGGATCGAATAGGCCCACTTTGGAACAAACCTAATCTAACCTAATGGTGATTCATGAGTTTCAATCCAAAATGAGAGTATGTATGTATGTATCTCGATAAAAGTTTTCATCGTGGATGAATGAAGTTCCGTGACGTCAATAATAATAATAATCAATATATTTATTCAAAGACTGTATCGATAAGAGATACATACAGTTATCAAATTAATAAATGAAAGTAACTGAAATTCTCCAAACTTAGTAAATGAGAGTTCGTTTGTAAATCTTCGTCTTTTCAGAAAATTAAACACTCAAAACTCATAGTTCTTCTACACGAACCGAAATATCCCAACGGTTTGGTTAGAATTTTCGAAAAATTTAATATAAATGTGGCTTTCAAAGTTGCTGTTTCACTTCAATCAGAAAGACGAAACGGCAGAATAGGAAAAATCTGGAATGAGTTCTGAGCCAAGAGGACTATAATAGCTCCTACAATATTTGATTCCATAGACAAGAGAAGTCTAGTGTTGCTCAATGGGACATAGAGAACGGCTACAGAATAAGTGAAGTATGCTTGTAGTTGTTGGGATCGGTACATAACGATATGTTTTTAGATGCCTTCAAGTGTTCAAGTGTTGAAATCTAAAATATGAACAGTGATTGAGGTCCTATTTCTGATTGCCCATTGTTCCAAATCGTATGTAATTGAAAGCAAAAAACAATATTGTATCTTCACCTGTTCGAGTACTGCTGGTGCTATATGCCATGACTTATACTTCAGCATCTCTTTGATTCTATCAACTACAAAAAAACATCCATCTTCGTCATAATAAACTACGTCACCAGTCCTGAGCCATCCGTCAGAGTCGAAAGATTCTGAAGAATCTTTTTTGAAGTAACCATTCATTACGAATTTGCTCTTCACTCTCAGTTCTCCAGGTTTGTTTGGACCACAGATTATTTCTGTATCAGTATCGACTATCTGAAAATATATTATTATTATATATAATAATAATAATAATTGCTTTTATTGACAAAATGCAGTACAACGTATAGTAGATATAAACAAAACAGGCAGTTCTTAAATGATATCCTACATTTTTGTCAAAAGGCAGAATTCAGGTTCTGATCTTGTCATTTAAGTAACGCAATCAGAACTTGCTCTTCCATTCAACCGTTTTCATAACATAAATCATGAATGAATTCTAATCATTAACCACTTATGCTATCACCTATCTTTATTTCGTTCAATGAACGACAATGGAAAAACTATAAAAAAAATAGAAAAATGTTAACTAATAATTCGCCTACAAAACGATAATATAAACTAGTAAAGAAACAGAAAAATGTTGGCTAATTATATCACCTAGAAACAGATATTTGCTTGTATATACACATAGGCATTCATATACACACATATATAAGTGAATCATTATTTACAGCTAGACAATAAATTTGGTAGAAGAAATTCATTTAAAAGTAAATCATCTTTCAGCTTTTTTTCTGAATTTTGCAAGCGACAGTGACTTCAATGAGTCAGGGAGTCGATTATACAGCCGAGATATATTATATGAAAAGGAGCATCGAAATAAAACATGCTAAGTTAAAAATGATCGGTATAGAACTCAGTCAAACTGTAATAGGGTCTACTACTCAAAATTTCTTCAATCATTTTTCTGTACTGATTGGTATCAATATTCATCTCTTTAGTATAACTCGGCAGATGGTTATACATCTTCACACCAGTTTTTTATCGACCTTTTTTGGGTAATTGTTACCTTCCACAATCTTTTACGTTTCGGAGGCCAAAATCTGCCTCTATGAAATTATAATTTCATATTTCAAAACTTCTTTGACATCTGTCGAAGAAATAAAGAAATAAGCTATCAAAAAAGGAATAACTGCGTTCCATTTCTGAAGACGGAGGCAGATTTTGGGCTCCGAAACGTAAAAGATTGTAGAAGGTAACAATTACCCAAGAAAGGTCGATGAAAAAACTGATTTTTTCCTCCACAAAAAATGACTTTCGTTGAATATCTTCACACCATTGTGAAATAAGGAGTCCTTGACCAGAGAATTGCAAGGAATAGGTAATTTTAAATTTTTTTGCACGCTCTGACGAGTTGTATAGTGATGGGTGGTAACCTCAAGTTTCACAAGATATTTCTTAATTGAACACACTGTTTTCAGAATAAAAAGAGCTACAACCGTCAATTTTTTTTATCTATGAACAGTTGCCTGCATGAGTCACGAGGTTTAGCTTCGCACAAGTATCGTATAGCTCTTTTCTGTAATACACAGACTCCACCAAATTAAGGCTACACACACCCCAAAAAGGTATAACGTACCTTAAGTGAGACTCTATCAAAGCTTGATATGCTGTTTTTGCAGTATAAACTCCCAGTTCTCTAGCAATAACTCTCACTGCTTGAGAGCCGGTGGAAATTTTACTTTCCATTTTTCTAATGTGAGCGTCAAATTTCGGTCCACCGTCTATATACAGCCCCAGAAATTTAGTAAACTCTCTGTTCTCAGTGATACCGCTCGCTACAGATAAATTCTGAAGTGAACATTTGAAAGTCATATTTGTTTTCGAAATATTAAGGGAGAGTAGATTGGAACCACACCAATACTTGATTTTTTGTATATCATGAGCTATTGTCTCATTGAGTATATCTTTTCCTTTACTATGCCACAATATAGTGGTGTCGAATGTCAAAAAAGTGTTCATGGAATAACTTGCTAATGATAATTCTAATCAGAGTTAGATATCTGCTGTGGATTCCATAACAATTTTGAGGTTACTTGTTACCGACATCCATCGTAGCTCCCTTACCCTTATAGCTGATTTTTGTCAGAAGAACAAATGGGTTCATGACTTAGAGGTGATGACGGTATGAAAGTCCTCAGAAATCAGTACCGCCCTTCACGGAGTACCCCTACCTGGCTGAGGTGGGATGGATGGGGAAATTATTCATCCGTTAACGGGGGGCATGAGGGCCTCATTCGACAGAGTATCGGGACCTTCTATATCGAGGGGGGTCATCTACAGTATAATCTATAGCTTCCCTAACTAACGGATATTCGTGAGTTTCCGTACTATCAAAAACTTGCCGATTCATCGACTGCATGAACTGCTGAATGGAAGGCAGCTGCGGATGCTTTGATTCCGCATGAACCACGGAGCATTCACAATCATCCGTATTAGCTTATTTTGTACTCTCTCCGAAATGGAGATGTTAGACGGAGCCGCTTGTCCCCAGACGCATGAACCATATATGACGACAGGCTTGTAAGTCGTGTTGTAGATCGTAAGATTATTTTTAAGACTGAATTCAGAACGTCTGTTGATCAGAGGGTACAGACTTCTGATCCGACCCTCCATTTTTGCCTTCATGGTTGTGATGTGCGGCCAGGTAAGCCTACGGTCTATCAGAAGACCGAGGTCCTTTACCTGCCCTTGCCAGTCAATCTCCCTTTCAGAGATTCTCACTTTTAGGGTACTTGTTAAGAGATGAAAATGAATGGAGAGCAATTGAATGATGACTTGTCATCATGCGAATTGAACTCTGCCTCTTGTCTTCATATAACAGTTAACTTGTACCTAATTTGCTTAAAATTTTTTATCATTTGATAGTTCGATAGATTTCAATAGATTATTATCATTATGAGATTAATTTTCATGAGCTCTTCTGAACTGAATTTATAAATTGAAAGATTTGTGATGCACTGTTTGGAACCTTTGGTGTAGTTTGATCTTCCTCTTGAACATGATCACTTGGCGATCGAAACACATGTCAAGGTGTTAAAAATAACAGTTTTGTGTTGGGAAAATACTCCAGTAAGGAGTATTTTCCCAACACAAGAATGTAAAAACCTATAAATACATCACAGTTATATAAGATTAGGCGCCACTGAAGGATGATCTCAGATCTGCACTATTCCAGATTCGCACAAAACTCTTCTAATAGGTACTGCTCTTCAAAATAATTCAGTGAAAGCGTTCAGTGCAAGCAAATATTTACATAGAAGGGCACGGAACCGATTTCAATAATCTATTGTTAAGACCATATCATTTTCGAAATTTTCAATTTTCACTTCGTTCAAGTTCTTATCCACTGAATGTGAATGATTTTACCAAACATTCATTTCATTGTTTGATGACAATAAAATTAATTAAGTGTTAATCAATGAACCAATATTCATCACAAACAAATGCTAGTATTATCACTTTTTGAATACGTAATTTGTAATGACCGATGTGAATAATAACTCCTAATGCATTGTTGAATATATTTTTCAGTTTCTGTTGTTGATAGCTTATTAGCTCTTAGCAATATTTCATAATTTTCAATGCAAATATTTCTTCATAATGTTTGATTGATAAACAAATAACGCACTCCTGTGATGGTGATTTATTCATGCATCAAAAATAACATTGTAATGAAAAAAAACGAACTAAATAATACGCAGAAATTCAAACTTCGGAAAAATCTCCTTGACTAAGGAGACTAAGTCGTTGCAATCCAAGTTATCCTGTCTGAGGAAAACACTGTGTTTGTAAGAGTTTTGTTATTACCTGATTCGTTAAATATAGTGATAAATCGGTTAATAAATATAGCTGCAGTAAGTTCAAAATGTTGTTTATTCGTAATTAGTCATTATACAAGACCATAAAGAAATTATTTATCAATGCGTGAGTTTAATTCACTAGCTGTGCAGTCGCGAGTACAATAATAGAGGAGCCCAAGGGGGATTTCGGGATTTACTAAAGAGCGGCAGTTTAGTATACAGGGGGATACCTCGTACCCGGTTAAGTGCCTCCACCAAATATGAGCCCCATATATGAGGCCGCCTGTGAGGGATGAAGGATCAGATTAGTAGAAAAAAAATATTTGCATGCTATTTCCTGAGCTTTTCAATTGATTAAGTTCAATGAATTAAAAAAAAATAGTTTTTGTCAGATTAAGCGACTCCCTCTAGATGATCGTCAGATTATGATACGGCACGTCTGAAACATAAAGATGAACCATATATATCTTACTCTGACGCGTTATAATAATGACCGCGAGTTTGCGTCAGATCGAAATCGTCAGATTATTGAATGAGAGTTTTTTTTTGTTGCACTCAACACCCCCTTAGAAAATCTGACGCGCTCGACTAATTTTTCTCCTTTTCACTTTCAACCCTTACGTACAACCACCCACATCATGCAAATGATCAGATTAACATACCAACATTATTAAAAACACGTAGGACATTGATGCTATCAATATCTGACGCGCTCGAGTATGTCCATGCAACAGTATTTTTTTACATATTCAAAAATCTATAGCCGCTTCCCCCACGATGAAAAGGTATATGTTATATAACATTTTTTTTTCTTATCATCTAAGATTTGCAACCTAATATGTCTCAATGACGCTCGAGTAAATCCCCATTTTGCATCGTGGGCTCCTCTGCTATAATGGGAATTCCATTTCTTCTACGAGTATATTACACGTTTTGTATACTTTGCAAACTTTGAATCGTTTGAATATGGTCCGCTATGTTGAGTCTTGTTTATAACCAAAATGTTTATTATATAAAAGACCTTTCAACAGGGACTTCCGAACTTTGACAGTTGATTCAGAATGTTTTGCCAAATCACCATGGACCCTGTTCGGACAACGTACCGCGCGCTTCGCCCATTTGAAGGTCGCCATAATCTTCCTATAGAGAGGACTATTCGCAATGTGGTGGATAACTTTGAAACCACTCGTTCAGTGAACGTTCGACCAACACCCGTACGTCGACAAAATGCAAGATCTGCTGAAAATATCGTGATTGTTTGCGAGTGTGTGTAGGAAAATCCGAGGAAGTCGATTTCACGTCGCTCAAAAAACTCGGTCTTTCACAGACCAGAACTTGTCAAATTTTGCATCGTAAAAAATTCAACGTACAAAATTCAACTGACTTAGGAACTGAAGGTAAACGACCATAGACAACGACGTGTATTCGATGAAGGAGCTCCGAATCAGGCAAATGACTGTTTTTTTTTATCAAAAAATCATGAATGATAAATGGGTAAGTCAACACACAAAATTGTTGAATTTGGGATGAAACCAATCCACATGAGATCCAAGATCTTCCAATGGATCCCGAAAAAGTCACTGTTTGGTGTGGATTTTGGGCTGGCGAGGACATCGGGCTGTATCACCAACGGCGATACAGATTTGCTTATAAAGGTCATATGGTTATGACAGCGAAAGCGAAGTCCAATCGCCCAATGGAAGAACCCTAGAGAGCCAAGATCAAAAAAGCAGACCGAATTTGATGAAAAGTCAACGTTTCGCTCACTGCTTTCTTCGCTCAACGTGGCGTAGTGCATTAGAAGTTTTTTCCACATGTTTGTAGAATCAATAAGGAGTATTATCATCTTGAAGTTATACCCCACTTGCGTGAAGCAATACGAATAAATCCTCCGGTGTTGTGGAAAAACAATTCACGAAATTGATTTTTTGGCCAAAAATAATCCTAAATCATGCCTTAGTCACCGTATTCACCAGCTTTGGTCACCTGTGACCTTTTCCTGTTTCCATGATTGAAGAGGCCGCTGAAAGGACGGCGTTTTGAGGCGATTGAGGAGATAAAAACCAAATTGCTGAGAAAGCTCAAGGACATATCATTTAGGTTGAATTAGAAATGATTGATATTGGTCGGAAACTCACATAACTTTCTTTGTTTCTCTCTCTATGAGTATTATATTTATGGCTTGTTTCTTCGCTGGACGGAGGACGAACTTCATTGGCGGTTTATGTTGTAGCTTGGCTTTGCAACTGACCACCTTAGGGGTCCTCGTTCACCTCCGATATTCGAGGATTGAGTTCGCTGTTGAAGTCATCAGTTGCGTCTTCGTAATGGGAAATGTCACCGATCTTACTTACTTAGGCTCGTCCTATAAGTACAATTGAGCCAAGCAATTCATGCGTGGTTCAGCCTAGCACCACTGATGAGTCTTATGGCGGATCAAAACAGCGATGTTTGGTGTTGAATCATGAATACGTTGTGTTTGAGCTCGATCATACACCTTGATTTTTGAGAGTTAATAAATATTATACAGGGTCCTGCAACAGTGGCGCGGTGTTCCATATCTCTATATAGGAAGCAGATAGGAATCTAATTTTCTATAATATAATTGGCGGTTTATGTTGTAGCTTGGCTTTGCAACTGACCACCTTAAAGGTCCTCGTTCACCTCCGATATTCGAGGATTGAGTTCGCTGTTGAAGTCATCAATTGCGTCTTTGTAATGGGAAATGTCATCGATCTTACTTACTTAGGCTCGTCCTATAAGGACAATTGAGCCAAGCAATTCATTCGTGATTCAGCCTAGCACCACTGATGAGTCTTATGGCGGATCAAAACAGCGATGTTTGGTGTTGAATCATGAATGCGTTGTGTTTGAGCTCAAACATAACGTAAATGAATATTATATAATAAACTTGACCGCCCAAAATGAAAATAGATGCGAAATGAAAGAAAAAATTAGTAAAAATCAGTCCGAAATACAAAAAAAAAAACACAAATTGCGACGCGTCTAGGTCAAAGCATGAATGGTCTACTGACACGCATCTTTGAAAAATGGTATTTACGTAGAAGTGAATGAAGAAAACGGTTTCTGTATTTTCCCAATTGATTTGGAAATCATGTTTCGGATGAAAATTCAACAGCTCACCTTGTACTTGAAACCAGCCACTGCAACGCCAACCGATCTAGGTTTCTGGTGCAAGTATAGACAGTCACGGACTTGGTTCGTTTTAAACTGAGTTAAAATTCCAGCAACTTCTGATTGTCCATAAACTTGAAACACAAAACATCCCGGAAGTAGGTCTCTCAGTGTTTCTATATATTTTTCGGATAAAGCAGCGCCACCGGTAAAGCAAGTCCAAAGACTGGTAGTATCAAGATGGTCAGGACGTCCAGCTTTAACCATATCCACAGCTTGCGATGGTGACAGAAACAGCGATGAAATCTGTTGGAGAAATATATGTTGAACATATAAAGGACGACCCAAATGAGGAATCTGCTAAACGGTTGGAAATGGATTCGGGCAGGGCCTGGAATTTCCTTCGATAATCCTTGGATAATCGATGAAAGGGTATTTCTGAAGTCTTCAGCAAAAGCCAGAAGTACGAAATTGGTAGAGAACCCCCCAATATTTCTGTGATGGGTCGCATGGATTATTGTGGACCCTTCTTGGTGACCATTGGAAGGAGAAAATGAAAGAGATGGTGTCATGCTCACTTGTCTTTCAGTTAGAGCAGTTCATTCAGAAATTGCATCTTCCATGAAAACAGATTCCGTGATAATGGCTATTCGTAGATTTATTGCAGTAATAGTGTGTCCAGAGAAAATCTCAGGATGTGGAGTGTACTCCAGATCACTAAGCCTAAGGATTAAGTGGGCAATGGGAAGAAATACCAGCGTGGTCCAAACAGAACTGGCTGGTATCTCAATCGCCACGAAAGAAATAACCAGGAAAGGAATTTCTGGCAAAAACCTAACAATCTGCACTGACAGCTGACAATCCCTATTAGCCTTTAACAGACAACGTGTAACCTCAGGGCTAGTACTAGAGTGTTACCAAGATTTAGCCAAAGCCTCGGTAGACAATAATCGTGATAGACAGACATCTGAGATGTCAAATTAAAAATATAGTAGGAAAACTGAGAGGTCTTTTATTCAAATTCAAATACTTGACAGACATTTCAGATATAAATCATCTGAAAACATCATACTATGGTCTGGTACAGTCAGATTTATCTTACGGTATAACTGGCTGGGGAGGTGTTAATGACTGTCACATGGAAATCCTCAATGTTATTCAGAAATGGATACTGAAAATTATCTACAGAAGAAGAGCTACATACTCCAGTGAAAAAATATTTAAAGAGGCCAATGTATTTGACGTAAGGCAGGCTTACTGCATCAACTTATTAGTACCAGGAACAAACAAAACAAGAAATTCCAGAATACACCATTATTGAAGGTATTGACTTAAATAATTGAATAAAAGTAGCGAAACAAGTGTTGCGGTTTTTGTAAAACCCTTTATAGTGAATATCATACGATGAACTGTATTAATTACTTTCTTTGTATTGACTTCAGTGTCATTCCATCTAGAGCTCCTCATATGGCGAAAAAATCTTTGAGAGTGATCACTGAAAGATTCACAAAGGCAGAAATCATTAACCCACGTATCTATCGATTCAGGAGATTTAGAACCTCCCACTCTGAATTATTTTCTCGTGGGGTACAAACACACGGAAGGTCCACCAGGAGATTTCGAATTGAGAAAATATTTGAGAACAGAGTGGAAAGAGGCACGAATGCTTGCTAACGCCTTTTGGAAATGATGGCTGAAGAATATTTACCTATGTTGAACTTCCGAAAGAAATAGACTGATGAGCAAGAACCTATCAAACTTGGGAATGATGTTACATGGGAGATGGGAAGAATTCGAGTTGCAGATATTCAGATACACAAGAACATTTACAGGTGACCCATTTTCAAGCTGAGTAAACTTCCAGTGGCAGTCAAGATGAAAGGAGGGAAATGAAGGAATGGGTTGGAGGATTGAACTCTTCCCAGGATGGAGAATGTTTTTCAGTTTGATATGAGTATCTTCAATTTCCTTTGTATATAAGTTTAATTCGCTTGTCTCAATTTTCGGCAAGTTATTTTGTTTTGAATATAATATAGCGTTTGTTAAAAGACAATTTTGAAATAGAAACATTCTAGAACTCAAGCNTATATATATATATATATATATATATATATATATATATATATATATATATATATACACATATATATATATTGAGAGTTATTGTATTCTGTTTCTGTAGAACTGTTTAGTGAAAATCTCACAATTAGTATTGTGGAATACGTTTCTGGGGTAATACTAGCACAAGCTCCAATGATTTTATCTCCAAGAAAAAAGTAAAGAACTGAGTTCAAGAGAGAAATGAATCCACCGCTGAAACAAATACTTTTTATGAAGTTTCGATTTGGAATGAAACGTTTGGACACTATGAATATATTTCTTCAGTCTAGTTCAATTTTTTCAAATAATATAGACGTTTTTTATTATTATTTTTTTAACATAGTATGCGCTGGTCAGGCCCTATCCCCCGAAGCCCCGATACGATTCTAAAGGCGCGCCAGTATTATAAACCTACGACCACTCCCCACACCGTGGGGTGAGTGATCATTGGGTTCGAGAATCATGTGCCCAGAACAAGCGCAGTGAGCCAAGGATGACAGCCTTCTGCATCTGTCCGGCTAAAATTTCTGCCTTAGTGCGGCAAGCCGGCATGATTTTGAAATTCGAGAGTAGAGAGGGAATCATTTCGCCAAGGACTCCAATAATCAGAACAACCATCTTGACAGAGTGGTCTGGATAGAGTCTGCGGAGTTCGAAGAGAAAATCTCGATATTTCATTCGTTTTTCGGACGATATTTGTCTCGTCGGAAGCTGAAAATTTCACGAAACTATCATCTTGTACTGGTGGTCGAGAAGGACTACATCAGGCTTATTAGATTGTATGAGCCTGAGGGTGGGAAACGAATAGATCCAATAAATTCGTCACTTCTTGTTCCCCACAATGGATTCAGTATATCCTGAAGCGTAGGGCAACACCAGTGTCTCGTCAATACCGTAAGAATGCCGTAGATGGTAATATAGCACTCTAAGGGCCGCGTTATGTCGATGGATATAGCCGAGATCGCATGTGCTGCACATGGTAATAGCAAGGTGCATTAGAGTATTGGACGCCAGGCGGCAGACCCTGCACCTTGTGTCAGGAACCTCTATACCCATCACGCGACTACAGTTTACTAAAGTGTTGAAGACATCATCCTGGTAAGCCATGATGAACCCCTCAGTTTCTGACTTCAGCCCACTCGACCTGAGGGAAGCGAAAGTTAAGCGCTTCGACAAGCCAAAGGTCTTCAATGATATTGATGAAGACTCATACATTTTCTTATCTTTGTATTTTCGCAGTAGTGAGGTGATCCCTGCGGCTTTTTTCCTCAGGATTTTGCTGAACGGGTTCCAATTTGGTGACAGAGTGGTGATCACCTCGGTTAGTGTCGAAAACTAAACCGACTTCATCAGCTGCTCAAGCAGCTGCCCTAAAGAGAAATTGTCCAATTCCTGCTCTCTCATGGTCGCGGACCATGCACTACTTCAAACGTAGAGTAGTATTGGGACGGCAAGCATATTTGTTGCAGCAACTCTGTTCTTCCCCGACAGTTCCGATGACCAGATCTGTCAAAGTTTGTGCTGATACTTGCCGCTGATACTTGGAACAAAGCCATTCGCAAGAGCTACCTCTTGTGAATGGCTTTGTTCCACTCTCAGGTTCGTATATGTCTCTCCGGTATCCAAATGGTGTAGGATGCTTCCATCTATGAGCTGCACATTCTTTCCGTACCATTGCGCATTTGTCTATCCCGAATTCTTCCACTACTCTCAACGATTGATGGAGATCCGTCTCTCCAGAGGTATAAAGTTTAGGATCGTTCATATGACACAAATGGGTGACCTTGTGCCTCCGGTGCCTTCGGGGGTGCCACAGTTATACTCTCGAGTGTTTCTGAGTGCAACGGATAATGGCAATAGTCAGGTGCCGAAGAGAAGGGGACTGAGGGAATCGCCCTGAAATACACCCCTTCTGAAAGTGACCCACCCTGTTTGGACTCTAGCTTGACCACATGTTATGGTGAAGCGAGTTGACCGAAGTGGTTCAATACATCTCACTATTTTGTTATTATTATTATCATCAACTTACAAAACTACATTTTTGTTATTTCCATCTTTATTTAATTCATGTGATATTTTTAGTTTATGGGATTGAACTTATTTCTTCTGAGGTATTTCTTGATGGTGGTTATTGAGACATTATTCCCATAAGATACTGTTGTCGTGCGCAATTAGGTACTTTCATCTGTTTCTTTTCCGAGATAGAAATTCAGATGTTTTAGCTCTATCTACACTTTCAGTTGTTAGAAACTTCTTCACGAATTTCCTGAGATTATCAGGAAATCCTGCACTGAACAATTTTTTTCCTCATAAAAATTACGGCCTGCATCGGAGTAAATGAAGATTGCTTCACTTTTTTCTCTAAATAGGAGTCATTAGCAGAGTGCGACTGACTTATGTTGGTGACTTCGTGCATTTGTGTTGTTTCTGCAACCAAGGGTTGACGAACCTTGCACTTGGCTATATCGTATTGATGATAGCTAATGAATCAGAAACACGGGTGTGCAGTTTGCATGTAGGCAAATTTCGACCTCAGAGTAGTTTTACTTTCTTGAAACTGGCTTCAAAGTCAATGATAAATTGTCGAAAAACTGAAAACTCTAAACGCGGTTCTTCCCAAACTTCAGATTTTCATATATCCCCTCAGATATTCTCTATTCCCGTATCGGTCAAAACTTTTCTCATGAATTATGCATATTTTCCTACTAAGTATCTCGTTTTAACCAACTGTTCCCTATTCTTACATCAGATTGTCAGTCTGGCCCATTAGAGTATAATGATTAATCATAATTCCTTTTGGTATACCCGTTGTTCCACTACTGAAGAAAATTACTGCCGTCTCTTGCAAACTCGATACATAAACAGGAATGAATTTTTCTTCATCCTCATGGAACTGCAGGAAATCCGCAAACTCCGTATACTTGTCTGAGCTGCCAAAAATAACGATTTCAGTTTCGATGTCTGGAAGAGAAATAGGTCAGTTAGTGATGTGCAGAATGAAGTGATTCACAAACAGATAGTACAAACAGTACAAATTTATCAAAAAATATATGGCGCATGTGCCAGTAGAGAGTGGAGAACGCTTATGATATTATTTGTAAGTAATTATAAAAAATTATTGGAGCTGCTTTCCATCAATACGAGTATGTATCAGTTGAGCTGAGAAGTTCCTACGCTGATAGAAAAAAATTCTATTTGATAAAATTCGATTTTATTTTTCAATATAGTTTCTTTCGAGGGCGTCACAACGATTATAGCGGTCATATAATTTTTCTATGCCATTTTCGAAAGCTGAAATTCACTTTCAGAAAACAAGATAGAAAGAGCATGTTATTAGAAAAATCGGAGAATGTAGAATGAAGGAGAAAGTATTTAAGATAAATGAAGAAAGCCAGAACACTGGGTAAATCTATTTTTTATTTTGATGATACCTACATGGATAAATGAGGGTCATACCGTCTCGAAGATTTGGCAAGACCAGAATATCAAAACCCTGAAGTGTGTCTCTCAGTGAAGTCTCAGTTTTCTACTTCTTGAAAATGGCTTCGAACAATGCAAAACCCGAAATTCAGGTGTTCAAATTTCTAACCGTTCAAATACTATTTGTATACTTATCAGGTGACGTTTCGAAGACTTTATCCATCTTTGTTATCAAACCTACGATCAATTTCATTTCACCACTGTCAATGATAATAATATCAAATTGATTTACATCAATTACATGAATTATAACTTCAAATTATATTGTTTTGATTAAGGTGAGTTGGATAAAGAAAATGTATAGTCTAGTCGCCAGATGATACATATTTCTTTTTTATGCAAAATTTCATGAATTCAAAAGAAGAGAGTACATGTGTAAAACAATTGTGGGATAATTCAGGCTAAGAATATTTTAAGAGGGTTTTAAAAGTAGTGTGCTTCAAGAACTCAGACGAAAAGTGAATATCAAAAGTTCTGCCGTTTTTCATCTCTTTGTGAAAACTACATTTGCTTGAATTTTGTTTAAACAAATGAAATGAAAATGAATAGGATGTAAACATTATTGCAAAATTTAAAATTACCGGACTGAAATGTTTAGATGAACAAGTTAGTGGAGAAAAAAATGAGCAACTCAGTGGACAGATTTCACAATTCTAAATAGGAGGCATCAGCTTGTAGCATGTTGGGTATCTGATACACAAAAACTTTGAAAGGATATATTTCAAAAATGTCTATTGTTCAGAATATAAATTGAAATCAATTTCATTACAGTATTCCATTCCATTATAATGGAATAATAATTATTGGAGACAAAATTGTTTTCGGAAAAAGTAAGTGGATGAACTTTCTAATAGTGAATAAAATCGAAAAATCAATAGTCTACTTAGAAAAAACAAATGTGTTTCAAACAAAATCTATTTTTTATATGGTCGATACATTTGTATGTATCCTTCATGTGAATTACCTGCTTCTAACAGAGACGTTTCTATCATTTCCAACGCATGAGAAACAACGAACATAATTTTAGGTGTGACTTCCTTCAACAAATGAGATGTGTCCATGATTGATAAAGCAGGATCAAGAGATGCGACAGGAACTCCCAAAAATAAACTTGCTATGAAGGGAATACAGCTATTTTCATGATTGTTCGAACATAACATCACTACGTCATTATTGTTTAATCCTCTATCTCTAAGATGCAATGCTGTTCTAATGCTTTTCTTCAGTAATTCACCATAGGTTTGTTCTCCTTCATTATCGGTGATGAACTGGAATATAAAAAACTTGTTCAGTTTTGCCAACATAAGGTACATTTCTGTGAATTTCCGGTATCTCATTTCCGGATTGGTTTTGTTATAGTTATGAACTGGTACAAACGCTAGACATTCATTATACAAATCCTATTTCACGGTTAACCAGAATACTCTAACAAATGAAGCACTTCCTTTTGTTCCCAAGACACTCGGAATTCGATGGTGATTCATTTTCAGTTCAATTTGAAATGGTGTAAGTTATGTACGTAGGTGGGTTCATTGTGTAGTGGTCTATTCGACCTACCACTGGAACCAGCAAGAGTTTTTTACGTCGCTTAATAATTTTTAAAGTCAGTTGGTAAAAGTGGGAACCTGTCAAAACTTGAAAGCCTTATTCGCTAGTTCTATTCTGATTTGGATATATCATCATTTGCTCACCTGCTCATGACTTTCTCTCTTCTGATGCTGATTCTGTCCCTGTTGCTCGAAAATTTGGTACCAGGCAGACTCATAGAATATTCTGCTCTCGAGGACGCAATAATTTACTTCCTACCTATATAATTTACACCACCTAGCCTACTAGGTTAGTAATATAGCTATAGGAGTTCTAAGCTATTCCTTATGGAGAAACACGTGCAAATTTGAGCAGGTTCATTCCTGCGTTTTTTAGACCTCAGGCCCAATTCACACGGAAGGAGCAAAGGTCAGCGCCTCGTCTCTGCCAGACGTCCATAATGTGTAAACTGAGCCTTAGCCTTAGTAGGTGAGCAAGCTTGATCCGAGCTCAAAATCCCATGTATTGCAAAAAGTTCAGCTCCATAAGAAAATACATAGGATTTTGAGCTCAAAATCCCATGTATTGCAAAAAGTTCAGCTCCATAAGAAAATACATAGGATTTCGAGCTCGGACCAAGCTTGCTCATCTACTAAGGCTAAGGCTCAGTTTACACATAATGAACGTCTGGCAGAAACGAGGCGCTGACCTTTGCTCCTTCCGTGTGAAGTGGGCCTGAGGTCCAAAAAACGCCAGAATGAACCTGCTCAAATTTGCACGTGTTTTTCCATAAGGAATGGTTAAGAACTCCTATAGCTATATTACTATGGATGGTTTCCACATTCGATATCAACGAAGGGGTTTCACCCTGTATGCATCACATTCGCAACCGAACCAAGTACAATTGCAGTCTCCGAAACGTAGAAATTTTATACAAATGGCTTTGTGATATATTACCAAAATAAAAATGTATAATAAATTTGTATTCTGAATCATTTCTTCTTTTTTATCTAACCTCACCGCCTTATGATAATATATCCTCAACAAAAATTGAAAACCTATGCAAAACGGTCGAAAACGCACGAAAAACGATCGAAAACGCACGAAAAAACAATCTAAAACGCACGAAAAACGGTCGAAAACGGTCCAAATGTTTATTGAGACATCCCGTACACAATCGTATTCCTAACCTTTCATGCTCAATTTTTAAACCGGCAACGCTACATTGCCCAATACACAACGATTTATTTTACAACCGGCAAACTGAACCTGCCATGCTGGCATTGGTTCATCTCTCTTTGCGCCGATTACACACACATACATATACACCTTTATATGAAATTAAGATTATTTCCCAAATCTAAGTATATTTTCCTGTCTTCAATATGATAATGACAATTACATTCTATGGAAATCAAAAATAAAAATGCTGTCAAGTATAATGAATGAGTCAATTTCGGTCCCGACAAAACTAACGCTGTAAATACCCAACATTCGCAGTTAACTTCAATATCTTACGATGGTGTAGAGGCTAAGGACAATGTCTATCACGCGGACGTCGTGGGTTCGATTCTCATAGCTATAAACTTTTTTTAATTAGGATATAAGGGGGGGCCGAGGGGTGATACTGAGTCTCAATAGGGCCTGATCGGTGATGTAGAGTACTGAAGGGGCCGAGGGGCAGAGTTCCACGCTTGAATCGCTACGAAACTCAATCCATCCTGCATCGATTACGTCACACGTTTCCTTCCCCCACTCCTGTTTGAGCCAGAACATACACTGTTCATCTAACATCATACATTGTTAACAGAATAAGGAGTTAGGAAACTGATAAGCTTTTGCTCTTGATCCGATGTTACAGGACAGTTGGAGCCTTTTTCTGACGAATTCTTTGGCTACTTCATGGTTCATACCATGACAAAGCTTTCTGACGAGAGCGCTCACGGGATCTCGAAGGTTCCGTTAGTGATACTACGTGAGCTCAGAATCATACATCTTTTCGCACGGAAACACACACCTCAGGACGAGACCTTCATTAGGGATGAATCATAGCTCCATAGGTGATACTTCGCCCCCGGCAGGGGTATGGTAACGTGTGCTTTAACTGGATATTTGAATTTTCCAGTCACTTTTTGTGTTGTAGAAGGTGGAACAAAAGCTAATTGAACTGAAGGTGATCGAAAATTGAAAAACATTTCGCCAGCTTCAACATTTTGTAAAGTTCACAAAAAACGAATGAATTATATAATGAATGAATTTTGTTAAAAAACATGGAAGATCAATTTGTTCCCATTTATTTACCTGTGCAACAGAATTCTTATATTTTTCCATACTGCTGAATAACTGGTACAAACGCTAGACATTCATTATACAATTTCTATTCTATGGTTAACCAGAATACCCTAACAAATTAAGCACTTCCTTTTGTTCCCAAGAGACTCGGAAATCGATGGTGATTCATTTTCAGTTCAGATTGAAATGGTGTTAGTTATGTACGTAGGTGGGTTCATAGTGTAGTGGTCTATTCGACCTACTACTGCAACCAGCAAGAGTACTTCGCTAAATAATTTTCAAAGTCAGTTGGCTGTCAAAACTTGAAAGCCTTATTCGCTAATTCGTTTCTGATTTGGATATATCATCATTTGAGCGTAGGCCTTTGCTGACCTGCTCAGGACTTTCCCTCTTCTGATGCTGATTCTGTTCCTGTTGCTCGAAAATTTTGTACAAGGCAGACTCATAGAATATTCTGCTCTCGAGGATATAATAATTTACTTCCTACATATATAATTTGCACCACCTAGCCTACTAGGTCAGTAATATAGCTATAGGAGTTCTGAGCCATTCCTTATGGAATGCAAAAAGTTCAGCTCCATGAGAAAATACATAGGATTTTGAGCTCGGACCAAGCTTGCTCATCTACTAAGGCTAAGGCTCAGTTCACACATAATGAACGTCTGGCAGAGACGAGGCGCTGACCTCTGCTCCTTCCGTGGGAAGTGGGCTTGAGGTCCAAAAAACGCCAGAATAAACCTGCTCAAATTTGCATGTGTTTTTCCATAAGGAATGGCTTAGAACTCCTATAGCTATATTACTATGGATGGTTCCCACATTCGACATCAACGAAGGGGTTTCACCCTGTATGCATCACATTCGCAACCGAACCAACTACAATTTCCGAAACGTAGAAATTTTATACAAATGGCTTTGTGATATATCACCAAAATAAAAATGAATCATGAATTTCTATTCTAAATATTTCTTTTTTTGTCTAACCTCACCGCCTTATGATAACATACCTCTAACAAAAATAGAAAACGTACGCAAAACGGTCGAGAACGCACGAAAAACGATCGAAAACGCACGAAAAAACGATCGAAAACGCACAAAAAACGGTCGAAAACGCACGCAAAACGGTCGAGAACGCACGCAAAACGGTCGAAAACGCACGAAAAACGGTCGAAACTTATGCAAAACATCGTATTTTGAAATGTCATTGTCGAATACTTCGCTCCCCCATTACCCTCACATTGAGTCCCCAACGCGTAACCCCTTGACACTTTTGGGTGTCATCTCCTCTTTCTCCTGATGATGCTAACTTGGTTAATAAAGATACGAAACTTGATGTCTTTCTGACATGTTGGAACGCTACACTTTTGTTAAACCGACATGTTTTTCTTAAATGATATATTTGACGCACCCTGTACACTTCGTCGCCATGTTTTTTCTTTGATGATGTATTTTGAGACATCTCGTACACAGTCGTATTCCTAACCCTTCATGCTCATATTTGAAACCGGCAACGCTACAGTGCCCAATAAACAATTTATTTTACAACCGGCAACACCGAACCTGCCATGCTGGAATTGGCAGCGTGTAACCTCGATACCATCTCCATCTCTCTTTGCGTCGATTACGTCACACGTGTCTCTCACTCTTACATACACATACACACCTTTATATGAAATAATAATTATTTCCCAAATCTAAGTATATTTTCCAGTCTTCTACAAGGAAATGACGATTTCAATTTACCTAACATTCTACGGAAATAAAAAAAATCATTCAAGTATAATGAATGACTCAATTTCGATCCCGACAAAACTAACGCTATAAATACCCATCATTCGCACAGCTACTTTCAATATCTTACATTGGTGTAGAGGCTCAGGACAATGTCTACCGCGCGGACGTCCTGGGTTCGATTCTCATAACTATGAACTTTTCTTAATTAGGATCACGTGACAAGGAGGGCCTGAGGGATGATGCGGAGTCAAAATAGGGTCTGATCTGTGATGTGGAGTACTAAGGGGGCCAAGGGACAGAGTTCCACGCTTGAAACGCTACGAAACTCATTCCATCCTGCGTCAATGACGTCACGCGTTTCCTTTCCCAACTCCCGTTTGAGTCAGAACATACATTGTTCATCTAACATAATACATTGTTAACGGAATGAGGACTTAGGGAACTGATAAGCTTTTACCCTTGATCCGATGTTAAGGTGCGTATTCACCAAAAAAGCGAGCACGAGCGAGCATGAGCGAGCGTTCGTCTATGTTTGCCCGTGTTCGCTCGTGTTTGCTCGACATATTGATGTCTCGCCCACACTTCAAGTTCGTATTACCGCTTTCTACTCGATCTTTTCTGAACGCGAACAAGCATACATTCGCTCGCTCGCTAGTCCGGACTCACCTGACGATTATTGATGCAGAATGCTTGTTCGCTCTTGTTCACTCGTGCTCGCTTTTTTGGAGAATACGCACCTTTACAGAACAGTTGGAGCCGTTTGCCGACGAATTCTTTGGTTACTTTATGATCCATACTATGACCAAGCTTTCTGAAGAGAGCGCTCACGGGATCTCGAAGGTTCCGTTAGTAATACTACGTGAGCTCAGAATCATACATCCTTTTGGCACGGAAACACACACCTCAGGACGAGATCTTCATTTGGGATGACTCTTAGCTCCATGGGCAGAAGTATGGTAACGTGTGCTTTAACTGGATATTTATTTCCCGTCACTTTTTGTGTAGTAGAAGGTGGAACAAAAGCTAATTGAACTGAAGGTGATGGAAAATTGGAAAAAATTTCGCCAGCTTCAACATTTTGTAAAGTTCACAGAAAACGAATGAATTATATTATGAATGAATTTTGTTAAAAACAAGGAAGATCAATTTATTTCCATTTATTTACCTGTGCAACAGAATTCTTATATTTTTCCATACTGCTGAATAACTGAAAACCCAAACCACGATCATTCGGCTGAAAGTTTGAAGGAACATTTATCACATAATCTTCTTCTTCTTCTTCTTCACTCTCACACATTGCCACTAAAAAATAATTTCCCTATTGTAGACCTTGTAAATGAAAAAAAAAACATGATTTGATGAAAGCGACCAGTTTTTTTTCGCTATTGCTATTTATGTCTTTATCAATTTTGTTGAATTTTAAAGTTTTTCACAAATTATTGTTTAGTCAGTCTTCTATCAAATATAAACTAAAAACAAAATCGGTTTATGATGGAATCGGCCGATACTTGATGAAAATCCATTACTAACGTATTCTAAAAACACTTTATTGTGTGATTTTCACTAGACAGTTTTACAAAAACGCAACACGTGTTTCGCCATGCAATGGGTTCCTCGGGCGTGTCCTAATGATAATGACATTAAGACACGCCCGATGAAACCATTGTAATGATTTGATGAAAGCGATCAGTTTTTTTCGCTATTGCTATTTCTGTCATTATCAATCTTGTTGAATTTTAAAGTTTTTCACAAATTATTGTTTAGTCGGTCTTCTATTAAATATAAACTGAAAACAAATTCGGTTTATTTCATAACTTGAGATTGGTTCTCAGAAACTAGAACGTGACTATTTCCAAATTAAAAAAAAAACGATGATATTGACAGCAAGAAATTAAATGACAAGAATGGAGAAATATAAAATTCAACTACTCCACTGGCTAATAATGTTCGCTCCAACTGCGGACGAGGAATGAAATACTCTGAAAGAATTTTTATTCTCAATTATGGAATATCATTTTCGATGATGGTCACTATCTTGCACTGACGAGTGGATGAATAGCCCGACGAAACCGGTCGACTCTTTCAGTTGTATTGCCAATTGCATATGCAGATACTGTCAGTATCTGAACCTCGAACTCAACCACCATCAATTGACTAAGAGAGAAATCATCAAAACTCTACTAGACCGTGCTTTCGGGCTCGAAAAAGGCATCATCAAAAATGATTTTCAACGGGTTATTCACAGGCTTTAGCTAGAAGAGAACAAGAACTCCACAAGGAAGAGAAGCCACAAGGAAGAGAAGAACAAGGAAGAAGGATTGAATCCAAGGATAACATCAGGACCTGCTTCAGATCTGGGAACACTATCCTTAGCAGCCTCACGAAAACTAGGCCACCAAACGCAGAATGCGATTTCAAGAATTGAATTTACCGGATACCCTGCGAGTGCAGAGAATCATACATCGGTGAAAGTAAGAGGCCAGTGAATGTTCGCATTGCTGAACATAAGAAACACACACAGCGAGGAGAAACCAGCAAATCCGGAATAGCAGAGCATGTTTGGACTCATCAACATAACATCAAGTGGTCTCAAGCAGAATTCATCCACAAGGAGGAACACTGGTTTAGGAGAAAATTCAAAGAAACCGCGTATATGTTGTCCAACAACGCATTTAGCCCAGCTATCGTAGAGATACGTAACATATGGAAAGATATGATCAAGCGGAACACGACCAACTCCCGCCAAACGGTCAGCTCCCGCTAGAACCAATGAAGCGGAGAGAGGGATGAGGGGATAGGTGAAAGCACTCGAATGACCTATAAATAGTCAGATCTTGGAGGAATGAGTCCAGGTATCACCCGAAGACGATTGTGGATACTAACAATCGAAACGTCGTGAAGTAACTTGGTTTAGAATCTTGCAATTTTAATTTCTTGTTGATAATATTTTTTTATTTTCAGCTTGTATTAATATTTCAATTTTTTATTTTTTTGGTTGTTGCTTGTGTTATTTCTTTGTAATTTCAGTTTTTTGTTCGATAAAATTGTTATTTTTCAGGCTAATCCTTTTAATTTTCCACAGATTCTTTCAGGGATTTCAAATCGATTTATATTATTATATTAGACAATGGAAGTCCGAACTGATGAAATATTTTTTGAAATCAGATATCAATAGTTATCGATGGAAAACATTTAAAAAAAAAATATTCCTGCGTAGTCATATTAGACATAAAGAGCTTTTAGGTTTTCTCATGTAGACTTTGAAACGAACACGAAGGCTTTGGACGACGCGGCGTATCTTCGAAACAAAGCGTCCTATCAAAAATCTTCGAAGGACAAAATATCCTTAGAATAGTCCAAGGCATAGTCCCTTAATGTTTCGCCGCATATTTAATGAATTCCGTGTATATAAGAGGATGTTTATTTTCACGAAGGTTATCGAGGAGGATCTCTGGAGATTCAAAATCGTATGGTTACTTAGGCACCATGAATGTAACGAAGGAAGGGCTCGCTCTAACTCAAGGCTGTCACTAATATTCACAATGGTCCTTTAAATTTTCATATCACATGCCAATGATTGATAGCTAAAATATCGGCAATATCGTTTATGAAATTTTTGAATGACAGCGGGGTCAGGTGAGAGCCCTAGGGAACCCCAGATGTTACAGAAATTTGTTTGGAAAGGTAGCTTTTGATTTCTATATTTTGGGATCTGTTCCATAAATTACTCACTAGTCATATTTTGAGCCACATAGGATATTGCATCTAATCTAGTTTCCGAATCAAGAGATCATGATTGACATTATCGTCGTAGACGACCTACCGGGTATAACTTCACGTTGTTGGTTTTTCAGGACATTTTCACAATGCCAAGATGAAAACTTTGCTACCAAGAGTTAGAAAAAAATCTGTGCAAATATGCTGGGATATACTTATATTCCCTTTCATCGTTTTTAGATACTGAGGTAATGAAAACTGAGGATTCAACTCACCATTGTCAACTACTTTCGACTCCATACTTCATCAATATTTGAAAGACCGTAAACAGAATTTCCACTGGAAAGAACAAATCTTGAGAGCATGCGCCTATTAATATTTCATTTTCCAAGTTCAACTACGTTGTCACCATATAGGTAAGTAAATAAATGATATAATCCTCCAATTTAAATACTATTCGATTCTAAATTGGTGTATTATAGACAAATCGATTTTTCTCGAGAATAGTCATTTTCATGAATGATGAATAGGTATTTCCTGATGGAATAAGAGCAGTAACAATACGGGGTGTGTTCAAAAATAGGGTGAATATTTAAATTTCGCTGCTATGTACATTCTATTAGTGATTTTTTTAATGTTTTCATGTTATTGGCACACACGTCTCGATCATATGTTTGAGTGCTCAAAAACACTCAAAATGTTGACAGTGTCATACGATGATTGTACTCTGAGTTGGAAAAATGTTCACAAGTGGTACAAGCTTTTTACAGAAGGTCGAGAGAAGTTTTTCAGAAATTGTAAGCATGAAGCATGTGGCAGCAAAGTTCGTTCCAAATTCTGACCGGTAAAGTTATCGCATGAGCATTGCTCAGTAATTGTTGAAAACGGTGATCCAGATTTGCTTTAATCATGGATATATGGTTATGACATCAAAACTAAAGTCCAATCGTCTCAATGGAATAGCCCAGGAGAGCTAAGATCAAAAAATGCACGTCAAGTTCTATCAAATGTCATAGTTTTGCTTACTGATTGAAGAGATCCATGAAAAGTTGGCGTTTTGCGACGATTGAGGAGATAAAAACCGACTCGCTGAAAAGATCAAACATATAACAAAAAGTGCATAATAGAACTGCTTCAAGGATTGATAATAATGCTGGCACAATTATATTATATCTGAGGAGAAAATAGAAATTGATGAATGAATGAATATCCATTAAGAAAAATGAAAATTCACCTTCCTTGACGTAAAAATTCTCCAAGGTTAGCAAAGAACTATTCAATTGGGATTTTGTGAAATGTTTATTTTCAATTGGTTAATTTAGTCGTCTATGTAAAGGAATAATCTATTCAATTATACTTGTGTATTCAAACATAACAATCCCCCTTGTTTGAATACGCAAGTACAATTGAATAGATCATATACTCCTTTACATAGACTAACGAATTGATAATCATCATTTACCAAAATCCCACTTGAATATTTCTTTGTTCACCTTGGAGAATTTTTACGTATTGATTAGAACAAGGAAAGGGACATAGGATACTTTTTATCCCGTTCGACCGCGTTACCGTGAAGTCACCAAGAAGTCACTATAAAACGTGGTATAGCAAAAATGCATCTGACATGGAATAACAAAAAAAGGTTAATGACAGGTAAACGTAATTTTGTCAATGGTTAATGAAGGCAATTGATGATGGAAATGGTGGTTTATATTTCCTGGATGCCCCTGATGGAACTGGTAAGACATTCCTGATGTCATTAGTTTTAGCTACTGTTCGTGCGAGATTCAACATTTCGCTTGCAATTGCTTCTTCTGGAATAGCAACCACATTGTTAGAAGGATGCCGTACGGCTCATTTAGTATCAAAATTGCCGTTAAATCTTCAAACTATTGAAGAACCAACATGTAATATTTCAAAAAACTCCGCAATGGCCAAAGTTTTATCAGCATCAAAAATCATCATATGTGAATTGTAAATTGAAGTTTCACAAACCATTTAGAAACAACGCAAATGAAAATTGAAGTGTTACCGACTAGAAATAAGCAAAGAACGGTAATACCAAGAAAGGAAATTGAAAAATTGTTTTTGACGTCAATGAAGTAATGGTAAGGAATTAATAGTATAGTGCAATCTTGAGTTTGTAATAAATAATCAAGACGTTTCAATTTTTCCTTACTCTCAGTCATAGTCGAATAATAAAAGATTTCTCTTTTGTTTCTGAAATGAATCGATTTGTAAAAACCTCGAATATTGGAGCGTGTGAACAGAGAGTTCAAATGGAGTTCTATACATCCTGAAAATTTTTCCAGCCCCGGAGCAATTATTTTTTCATAAGTGATTCATGAGTTTGATACCCGTGAGTTGGGCTACCTATCGGGCGCGTCTCCAGGTGACGGATAAGGGAACGGCCAGGGGACTTGAGACCCTGTCTGGAAAACCAATGTGGCCTTACGGACGGGGTCGCCAAACTTCTGATGAGTGGCAGAAATAAGTAGGGTGAGGAGACTGAAACACCCCAAAAGCCTTCGCAAAACATGCCACCGTGGACCAGCCTAACCAAGCTAAGGTGTAAGGAATCGTACTGACAGCTGATCGATCCCCTTGGGAAACTGGGCGAAACCTCATTGTAATCAACCTACCTCTAGTAATGAGGGGCTCAGCTAGAGGTGACCAACTCTTCCCTTGATACTCGTGGGAACACACATGAATGAAACAACACAAAAACAGAAACAAAAAAAACCAAAACCAATCTCGAGGCTGGACAGAAGTGCTCACCTCAATCTAAGGTGAAATTTCAGGCAGCTGAATTTAAACGTGGCCGTGAGAGCTCAAGAAACGATGAACGTTCGGAACGTTCAAAAACTTCAACTATCGACGAAAACATTGCCAAAGTTCACCAAATGGTGCTAGGCGACCGCCGAATCGAATTGACTCATTCCTACTTCGAGGTTTACACCAGCCGTGCGCAATCGTAACATGGACATTAACGCAACCTCCTTAACGTACAGGTCCAGAGGGGTCAGAGCTGTTTAAACAAGGCAATCGCTGTATTTGGTATAATTTTTGGATGGCCGTTGCTTGTAGAACTTTCGGTTCCCATGCAATGGTTCCGTACGTTAACATAGATCTTATTATTGCAGTGTAGATCCAGGTGACCACACGGGTTGAAAAACACAGTTTTTTTCTTAATAAAATTGTTATTGTCGGTTAATCCTTTTGATTTTTTTCAGGAATTTCAAATCAATTTATATTATATTAGACAGTGTCCGAACTGCTGAAATATTGTTTGAAGTTCTTTATCATTATATTAGCTATGGCTTAAATGAAACTATCACTAGAATAAATATCAAATAGTTTGATCTTTTTCTTGAAGATGATCACTTGGTGATCGAAACACCTGTCGAGGTGTTGAAAAACGGCTTGGTGTTGAGAAAAATCTCCAGTAATATTCATTACTACAGTGCATCATAAGTAGTTACTATTGCAGTAAATCAAGTTTTTCTAACTGTTTCTAACGATTTTTCAACAAGAGTTTCGAAAAAGTTATATACGCAATCTCACAAATAACGTTTTCTTTTATCATTAATGAAATTAGTGACCTGACTATGGAAGTCAATTAGATAAAGAACACAAAAAAAAAAACTTGAATTGCGACTCAAATTACACATAATCAATCAGGAATGAACATAGAAACTCACTTTCCATAATTATCAAACAGACGACAATAAATGCACTGCTTTCAATTAACAATAGAACAGAGAGATTAAAGGGTAGCCTGTATCATACGCTGATATAATAGTCAAATCAACGAATCAGCTCCAACATTGATGATTTTCTTAATCCATTGGTTTTTTGGGACGATGGCCGGTTGGATTGGCGTTTGTGGTTCATTGTTTTCATTCAATCGACTTCTACGTGAAACGCTGGTTCAAGTCCTACAGTCGGACGATCTATTTTCGCTGCTTATCGTCCAACCTGTGCTAGGAATCGCACGTTGAAAGGTATATCCTCGTTTATCTTCAGCTCGCTGAAGTTTCGACTTGTATGGCTGTCGTTCATAAGGGAGTGACAGCTAGTTGATATAAAAACAGATTTTCAATGTCATAACTATATGCTCATGATTCGTCACCAGTTATGACACTTTTGAGCATAATATGGAACACTGTCGACGCCATTCAATAACTCCTGAGCGATGCTCGTGCAACGGTTTTTTGGGCAAAATTCAGCAATTTTGGAATGAACTTCGCTACCACACGCTTTATGCCATTCCTCTAATAGTGATTCAATGATTCTCTATGACAATTTTCTTCACTTTTTCAGGATTTTCATTGGTTGTTGTTGTGTTGGGGCGTCCAAGACGAACGTCGTCATTCACACCATATCGAACTTCTGTGAAAAGTTATTTATTATTTTCAACTGTTGAAATTTTAGTATTTTGAAAATCCATAACATGATCTGAAGAGATAACATGTTCAGCTAGTCCACAGGAACGTTTGTTGAGTCTGCAGTCACTTTTATGTGAAGTGATTCTTCCAGATAGATTACGACTGGTCTCACCAATGTAAATTGAATTACAAGGAAAACCCAACTCAAAGATAATCTACTATGACAAATGTTAAAATATGTCCAGTAGTAACCAAGACATTCTCCAACAAATAGGTATTTAGTTGAAGGGGATTGAAAAAAATATTGTTTATTTGAAGGCGGTTTAAATAGATATTCCTTTGAATTATACTGTCAACAGACACATCGCACCCATCAATAAGACCGACTTGGCTTTTTAGCGGGGTTATTCGTGATATTCTTCAGTTTACTGCGACAGCGCGTTGAATAAACAGCTGTACAACATGAAAGCTAGTTGTTCGGGAATCGTGAAGCGTCTGAAATTGTCACCATTAAATATAAATGAAAAAACAATTGTTATGAATGTATACTATTCTTTATGAATACAATATCCGCTCGAAATGAAAAGTAAGGAGGAAGTAATAGTGAAAAAATGCACGAGTATGACCGGTGTCAATAGATCAACAATTTTTAGAAGGAACTCAACGAAAACAACAACTTTTTCGAGCCGAAAGTACCCACTGGTAGAAAGTGTTTGGTTATCGATGAAGAAGTCAAGAATTCTATTACCTAGGAGAACAGTACACTCTTTTTACATAAAAAACGGAATACCTACATCAAATAAAGTTTTGTCATTCGTGAAGACAGTTTTTTTCCTGATATAAGATGAACTCGATTATGAAAGATATTACATAAGCTGAATTTCACTTTTGGAAAGCAAGATAGAAAGAGCATGTTAATAGAAAAATCAGAGATTGTTTAATGGAGAAGAAACTATTTAAGAGAAATAAAGAAAGCCAGAGCACTAAGTAA